ATCTAGGTGTAATATTGACTAGAAATCATAGTAAAGTCAATATAGAATTTTATCCATAGACGATCTATACATCAGGTGAGATCGTTGGGGGGTGTTTATTGTTGTTTAGACAGTGAACAATTATATATTTGGCAACCAAAACACAGTCAGTACGCAAATCAGCACAAACTCTAATATCATTATTGGACATAGGAAACTGGTTACATAAGGTGATCCAGCTCCACTCCTTCAACGCACTTCTGCCTGGACTTCTGACATGCAGTGCAGACGCCATGATCACTGTTGCCTTTAACGCACTCCACACCTCTCTTCACACAATGTTTGCAGGGTGGTAGTCCTTCTCCCACCACTGATGTAGCAGCAGGACGCTTTGATCAGGATGATCAGTAAAGGTTCCTGGAAAAGATCACACTAATTGGGGTACTCACCTTGCCTGCGACCACATCTGATGCCCTCAATCGCCTCTCCTCCTCAGCGGTGAGGCGTGCAGCCTCAGCTCAAGCCCTGGCCACCTCCTCTTGTTGTTGGGCCTCACAACACGCAATCTCAGCTCTGTGACACTGCAACCTCTCCACATGCTTCTGTTCCATTAGCTCCACATCGTCATCGGACTGATCAACGACGTCCTCCTTGCTCCACATCCTTATATCTGCTGGGTTTTTCTTGGGAGCCATGAGGATGGGAGATCAGAATGTTGTGGTGGTAAGTTCGATCACTGTGCCGGTGGAACCAAAGTTTCAGGCTCAGCTGAACCGATTCCCACACCAGTTCCTTGGGACTTCAAGGGTTCAGTCCTAAGAGGGGGATACTGTCATGACCTGGCGTTCCCCAGAGTCAGACGACCTCCTCCCCAACCTTTTCCCATGCCCAAACACTCCCCACACACTCCGCTCACCACCCATCGCCATCTAACCACTCCCCACCACATCTCAACGTCTCCTCCCCTAATTGTCATTGAACGACTCAGCAGCACAGAGTGCCATGACCTCTTGTTCCACGTTTCGCTGCACCTGGTTATCTCATGGTGAAGGTCACATTGACCTTCGCTGTCTTAACCATATGCCTCTTTGTTTGTTTTCCTTCTTCTTTCTTCTGCCTGCAATCTCCGCAAGATCTGGCGACTTACTTTCTATTCAGTTCCCTAGCACTTATATACAGCCTGTAACTATTGCTTGTACAGTAGTTCGAAATCAACTAGAATCCTCCCCCTAAGCTTACCTCTGACCTCTGCCTTCTGAAGTATTGGGACCACATCAAGAATGAGGCGCAACGCTCCTCTCTGAGTCGTTGAAGCCAAAATCCTGGCCCGCTCACCTAAGTAGCTTCGGCCTCAAGATCGATGAGGTTGATCCTTGCTAAAGCTCAGTCATGAGTAGGATGCCTGTATTGTTAGCAGCCAATGTTCAGTCACTGACAGCTATCATCAGCAAAGCTTCACACAGTTCTGACACTGATCCCTGACAACAGATATGACAGCTGGTGTAAGGGATTAACCTTACTTCACTATAATTCCGATTATAGTGATGCTATTATTCCTTTATTTATTTGTGCTGAGATATGTAAATTACATATATATACCTCAGAGTAGTTGTAAAGGCCCAGTAGCTTTTTACCTCTACCCCATTGAATATACAGCACATTTAAGCTTATATTTAGATGGACTAACTGAGGCCTGAGGTGAACAGGGGAATGGAACATTACTGTCCCCAAATAAGTAAGCAACCCTTCAGCTGGCCACTGTCTGGAGGGGTGTCCAGACTGTTTCCCACAGTGTCAACACACTTTGCATAGTTGGATAGCCCCTTCAAATAGCTTCCAGAATATATAATTTGAGACTAAATTGACAAGCAAGTTATTGAGAAAAATGCAAAATACTGTTTTGGATGCAAGTCTTTGGGATAGTGCTGGGCCACTAAATTTCAGTGACAGTCATCGAAATTCCTGGGTCACTGATATCCCAAAGACTCACATCCAAAAAAGTATTTTGCATTTTTCTCAATAACTTGCTTGTCAATTTAGTCTCAAATTATATATTCTGGAAGGGGCTATCCAACTACACAAAGTGTGTTGACAGTGGCCAGCACTGTGCACAGACATGAGGTGGACAGCCACACTAACCCAAAGACTTGTGTCCAAGAAAGTATTTTGCATTTTTCTTGAAGGTTTATTGGTCAATTCAGTCTCAAAATATATATTCTGGAAGCTATTCAAAGGGGCTATCCATCTGCATAAAGTGCATTGAGACTGTGGGAAACGGTGCTGACACCCCTTCAGACAGTGACCAGCATTGTGCACAAACATTAAGTTGGACAGCCACCATCAAAAGACTCACATCCAAAAAGTATTTTGCATTTTTCTCAATAATTTATTGGTCAATTCAACTATGTAAAGTGTGTTCAGACCATGGAAAACAGTCTTGACATCCCTCTAGACAGTGGTCAGCATGTGCACAGACCATGGGATGGACAAGTATGGCATTCCAGGACAATTTGCAGCCACTGAATCAAACTGAATTAGGACATCTGAGGATATTTGCAACAATGAATGAAACTGAATGGCCAGGATGTCCTAGGATGTTTATAGTGAAAAAGGCCTTTTAGGCCCCATGCAAATGTCCTGAGGTCCCCCTATAAAGGCCCACATAGTGGTTGTCCAAGGTGCAACCTCCGGTTCGGCATTTCCCAAAATCTTGAGGCAATCAGAAAGTCACTGAACCAGGGATCAAACTCGATATTACACAAAGGGGTGTAAATATAAAGATCTCTGCTCCTACTATCTACAAAGGTCTCAGCTTTTATACGGTTCTGGGGTCGCTTATCGCTTACAGTCGCTCCTGCGATGTTGACGACTCGCATCTACGGATTAGGGATTAGTTGTCAGAACCCGTATATAAATACTAAAAGATAGGGGAGAATAAAAATTGGGCTTAAAACCTGCACTTACGACAAGGTCTAGTCGTTCTTTTGGGCTGAAGAGCTCGCCTCGGCCGCTTCTCCAGCGGTGCCATCTGATTGTTCCGTCTGTAGTATTGTAGTCTGAAAAAGAGGCCACACCAGGATTCGAACCTAGGACCATCCAACATATATTTGGAGGTGTTAACCACTACACCATATGGCCGGTAGCCATAGGCCTGTTCTCTAGGAGTGACCACAACACTCCCCCTTAGACCATGCGACATTGGCAGGCAAGGTCCCAGGTGAGGCACTCGGCCTTTAACAGACGTAAGGAGAGGGGCAGAGTGCCTGGGCTCATAACCTATTGTAGTCTGAAAAAGAGGCCACACCAGGATTCGAACCTAGGACCATCCAACATATATTTGGAGGTGTTAACCACTACACCATATGGCCAGTAGCCATAGGCCTGTTCTCTAGGAGCAGATGGTCTGACCACAACATGTAGGGCCGCCATTGAGAGGTCATTCATGTGTCCGATCGTGCTCGAGAGTGAAGGGGAGGCCGGTGTCACAAAGCTCGGAGGGGAAACGGATGGCACATATTCCGCGTTCACAAAGAGATTGTTGGGGTCGATCGTAGTGGTATCTGTGTTCGCGAATGGGTAAGGAGTTGGGGTTCCTCCGCTAGGTCCCTCATTGTCGGTGCGTCGTTCAATGGGCCTCGTTCCAACGTTACGGTATTTGTTGCGTCCGTGCACACCGCGTCGGGTGTAAGGACCCCCGCGGTGGGGCGGTGCCCGCTCTCGGTTGGAGTAGGGGGATGTAGGAGGGAGTGGTGGGCGCGTAAACCTGCTAGGGGAACCGGTTTGCCGACCCCCACATTCTACCCAAAAAGGCTGTCTACTCACCGCTCTTCCCTATACATGTGGACTACTATCAATGCCCGGCTATTCTTCACCCTGTCTCGGCCGAACTTCAAATTTACTTCGGTGGGGCGACAGTTCTTGTGGCTGGTCAACAACCATTGTTTCGGTTGTTGCTGTGTGACTACGATCAAGGCGCAGCAAACTCCATGCTCGCCACACGATTCCCTGCAACTGCATCCGCACCGGTTAGTAAGCTCCGCGTTGCAATGCTTCTCAGCCACCTCGGGAAAACAGTCACATTATGAGACTGTGACCATTTTATCCGAACGACGCAGCAGGTCATGTCAGGTAGAAAACAATAGTGTCCAATGCAGAAGCTTCCATTACGAACAACTGCATAACGTTAATTAGAGATGGCCAAGAGTCTCAATTTTGGCGCCCGTTGAACACTCGCTGCAGGCCAGGCCATGAACTTCGGCGTTTAAGACTAGGTTCGCCGCAGCCCGAGGGGCTGATTTCATTAGCAGACGGAGTTCCACAAAACCTTGAGGGGGAGAGCCCAATTCGGGACGGGTTCTTCTCTTGGCAGTCACCTGTTCCGTACACTGTGCCCCCTTCGCTAACCCTAACGAAATCACTACGGACTCCAGGCACACCTTTGATTTCCGTTCTCCATGCATGGCTAATTATTCGGAGGGTTTTCGGCGTACCCTGCATCCAGTCCACTAGATAGCTGGCATCCCAATGGGCCTTGCTACGGACGGCATTACGCTCAGCTGACGCCTCAGCTGGTGCAGAATGGTTGACCCGGCCTCAGATGTAAGTGCGTGTTCCTTGAGCCAGAATTCCAGCACAGCAGACACAAATCGGACTGTTGATCGTTCAACATGAAGCTCCTCACCATCTTTGCCCTTACAATCACCTCTGCATTTGCTCACGACACTAGAGTATTGTCCGCTGAGCAATTGAAACGTCGAAAGGTGTGTTAAATATGAGGATTTCTTCTCCATTCCCTAATGGTGTTCGCAGCTTGAAGTGGAAGCACGCAATGTCGCAGCCAGGAAATGCGCCCCTGCCGTGCGCGCATTTGAGAATCAGCGCCGCCACATTCGCCGTGACCTGAAGCATTTATCTTTGGACCTCCGTGGAGGAAATTTTGGTGCTCAACGGGAAAAGAAGATCAAGAATATAGACCTTGTCCAGCGCACGTTGGTATAATGCACTGACAAAATTTATAGAAAACCTGTGTTATGACTCCTGAAGTAACAGAAGGCCCCTACTTTGTGATGAATGTCTGTGTTTGTTCTCTACCTGCCGGTTTCCAGGCTAAAGCAATCCACGGATCGGTAGGAACTTGTTCGTCAAAACGTACGCGAGAATCAGCGGGGCGTTCCCCTTCCGCTCGACATTGGAGTGATAGACATCACTTCCTGCAAGCCACTACCTAATGCTTTTGTAGAGATCTGGCATGCCAATGCTACAGGTGCGCCAAAATTGCTTTTCATCCGTCCTCCCCACCTACTGACCCTTGTGACCAGGCTTCTATTCTAGCTTTACTGCGGAGTCAACGGGTGGCAGCGGAAATACTGGGACGCCTCCAAGCAATAGCACAGTACTGGTTCTGGTGGCGGAAACTCTGCTAGTACAGCCATGAGCGATGAGCTTAGCTTCGTAAGGGCGGCTGGCCTGCTAACAAGAATGGCATGAGATGTATACCGTATATCCTGGCTTCTACACGGGTTGAACTATCCATATTCACGTAAGTGGCACTGGGTGATACACCGGATTCTGAATTCACTGCTGACATTTTGCATTCCAGACTGCAGTCCAGACAAATTGGACCAAGGCGGCAAACGAGTATGTTTCCCACAATCGTGCCGGGGACCTGTCTTGATCCCTAAATTTTAGAACGATCGAGTCAACGGAAGGAAACCTTCACATCGGCCAGGTCTTCTTCGATGAATCCCTCAACGACAAAGTCCTTGCCCCTATTCCCTATGTAATACCACTCAGTCTCACACCGCCTATAACGCGGACGACTCTATCCTTGCAGAGGAGAACACGGGCGGATACAATACGTTCGCAAGATACTCTTTCTCCACCGCTAACCACTGGATGCCCTGAGGGTAGGTAGCGATGTTATAGAAAGGTCATACATAATTGACTCATCATGGACCTCTGCTAGTAGCCTCGATTTACATACGCGAGTTTCATTTCGTTGGCTTCAATATATAAATCCTGTGTTGAAGCAGCCGGGTCTATAGATAGCTAGTTGGGCCATTTGTTTTGGTCGCCCTGATAACATCTTAATCATAATCCGTTGCGACTGCATGCGCAGCGCGATGCGGATGTATTTGTTAGAGATAGCAGCCCAACGCCACGGTACAAACGTTATTGGGATTTGGGGCGCTAACCCTTTACGCTTTGGCCCTCTTCAAAGTTTCATCTCAGTGGCGTATACCACGTCGTCATGTGCATAAGGACAGGACTCACCCAGGCAGCCGATACACGGTACTACTGATATAGGTATCGCGCTGCTCAGACCGTAGGCGCAGATTTACAGTATTTAGAAGATCCTGCCAATGTTATTCCGGTGTTCTGTTCGCTCATATCCTATTGAACAATGCGGGGATGCGGCAGTGCTTCACAACAATTACATATGCGGTGGCTGTTGGAGGAACCTGCTGTTGAAGCACAAGCGTGTGACCGATCACCTGGCCGGTCCTCACGGTCACATGTTTCCTGTTTCTTTTCTTTCTTTCTTTTTTTTTTTGGTGGAACCCCTGTAGCTTCGCGGTACATCACTGTATTTAGGGGTATGTTTCCTGTTTCTATCATTTCGGATTTTATTATTATTTTCTCTGATAACTTTCATGTGTATCTACAGCTACGGACCTTAGGTAATCTTCAGTTCTCTAACGCTGTTAAGCTTGAGACTGAGCTACGGACCTTAACATTTTCTCAGTGGCATGGCAACTTTTGAGCATTGCATCATTGATCCGGTGTGGGCATAGACTTCCCAGCCGTCTGACAAGCTACAGCTAACCATTGATCATCCGTTCAGTCATGCATGTACTACATACCTTGGGACGACGTCCTGACAACCCCCCCCCAAGGTTGATTGCCTCCACTTTCGCCGGCAGGTGACCTCCGGACTCTTGATAAAAGAGTTGGTATAAATAATGGTAAAGACATATGTACTTCGAGGTCGTTCTTCCAACACGCTCTCATATCAAAGATTGGTTGTCGTGTTGCTTGATTTCACAGACGACTGTTGCTGCAATTTGAGGTCCACGACATTAGATTGGACTTGTATTCTGGATACAGGAACATCGAAACTGGGGAAACAATGAGGGAGTTGTGCCAATTGACATCACACTAAGTGGTTTCGGTACCCCCCAAGCAGGGTCTTGTTTAGCCCTAGGACTTCCCCAACACTTTCCCAAACCGGGGAGCAATGTTATGATCTAACTCAAGCTGTTTTCTTTCTGTTGGCCTCTCATCGCTAACCTATCGGCTGCGCGGCCGCGGGTCGCATCTATCTCACATCCACGATGCTTGACGACGACCAATATTCGAGTCAATTATCCGAGCAATTGAGTCATGATGTGAGATACTGGCAAGGCCTCTTGCACGTCAATACGGCAGGCATGAGGGGAAAATAAAGTGCGAGAAACTGCTTCTGAGGGAGCCTCACTCTTCCCCGCTCTATTAAATAGTAATGTTTTTCTCTACAAAGGCACTTGCACTTCCTTCGCTCGTTTCTCTCGCCGTAGCTGGCCCTACGGGACATAACGCCATCTTTAGGAGGGCTTCAGGGACTCACTCGGCTAGGCAGCCTGCATGCACTGTCAACAGTGTATCTAGCGCCTCTGACTTGTCCGACTGCACCTCCGTCGTGATTGAAGCTTTCACTGTACCATCTGGGAGTAAGTGGACTCACGTAGCCTATGGATATAATCTGATGGTCCCCGCAAGAAACTATAACTATTAGGGTAGACACTCTCAACCTTCCTGGTCTATCCTCACTCGGTGCTGAATCAGCTTTCGCTGCCTAGGCAGCGCCGGGCGCAGTCGTCTCACAGACCGGTGCTATCACATTCGCTAAGACGACAGGTTAGTCGCGGTATTTACAATCCGAATTACCTTAGACGGCTTACATCCATTAGCATCGGGACCTCTCTTGACTATCGCCACCACAAACGTCACTTATGATGGCAATGGACACAACATCAATGTGAGTGGTATCATTCGTAGCATGAAACTACTAGCCAATGTTCCGCCTCGGTGCAGGGAAATGGCTGGCTATATTGGGATGGCAAAGGTGATCAAGTCTTTATCCTTCCGTATTCCCACCTCTAATTTTATGTTCAGGAGCAATTGGTGAGGGGAAGCCGCACCCTCTTGTCAAGTGAGCCAACTTCGCTGCCGTTATAGGTTCGTTAATGGTTTGTGGGATTTAGGCTACAGGAATATGGAACCTTTCAATCGTTCACTGTCCTCGATTCGCCTGCGCATGCTATCTCTGTTGGCACGACAGGTCCCAGCACAATTCAACACGTTACCGTGGATAACTGTGAGCCACCATACAGTTAGAGGAGCATCGGAGGAATCCCTAATTTCCGTGTGTAGCTGCGGGTAACAAGAATAAATTGGGTGTTAACACGGATGGTTTTGACATTAGGTCAGTGACTGCTTGGGGATCCTCCCGGCGGAAGTCTGATGAATGAGGCCTCTGCTTCCCTCAGTGCAAGTGATGTTACCCTCTGTAACAATACCGTCATCAACCAAGTGTGTATTCGCTTACGACGCATTTGATTTAATCCATCGCTTACTCACCTCTCACAGGATGATTGTGTTGCCATCAATAAGTCAGTTTCTCCCCTTCTCAAGCAGTTTCCATTCAATAAATACTGGGTTTTCTCCCGTCTCATAGCGGCAGTAATATTCTCGTACAATACATGACCTGCGTCGACGGCCACGGCTTGTCGATTGGCTCAGTTAGTTCCGGTGATGTAGGGGTGGTTTTTTATGCACGGAATCAGGCACGAATAATCTATTTTGTTGTTCCTTCCCCTCATACCGTAGTCCGTCTCAAACGTCATATTCCGCCAAAATACGGTCATGAACAGCGCGAATGGACTCCGGATCAAGGTCAAAGCCGACGCTGAGAATAGTTTCGTTTCGAATGTGGTGTATGATGGGTGAGCAAATAGGTGCCTTCCATCCCCTCGCCTCGCTGCAACTGATCTGCCTGGGTTTCAAGCAATATCGCTTCGAATATTTCCAAATACGGCTTCATCCTCACCCAGAGTTATCCAGAAGGTGCGTTTCCGATGCAACAGTGAACGGTCGACCATTATTCCTGATTGTAAGGTGTGCTTCCTGTTAAGTGAATAGTTTTCGGTAAGGCAGGCACAAAAGCCCCCATTACGTGTGTGGTCTTTATTTCCTAGTCAAGTATATGTTGAAATCATGCTTCCTGCAGAGGAATTTCCTTTACGGGATCGACAAATTCCGTATCCGTCGCCTCAAAAGCCTACAGTGTTGGAGTAAACTGTGGCAATTGTCAAGGTGTACTGGACTTCACCGGGTTGCAGGCCACAGGAGGCCGAGGCAGGAAGCTCGTGGCACAGGGTGTCCAGGTGCGTGTATACATTATGATGAATCAGAGAGGCTAATGTATGATTTGATGATCGCAGATCCAAGGTCTTGGCCCAAACTGAGGCCTGAAAGATAGGTTTGCATTGGGTACCGTGGAAGGCACTCCAACTACTTCAGCACCGCTGCTGTTCTGTCTTTCATTTATGTATATCCAAGAGCACTGAACGGATTTGGGATCTATTTATTTGTTTTACTTTGTGATTGAAATGCAGCATCACTAAGGATGAAACAATAGAATGACATCGGACTAAATATGTCCAACATATCATCATGCCATTGGTGGCTGGGTGAGACAATATCCTTGGTATCATCCTGGTCATTCTTTGTAAGGAGTGGTAACCCCACCCCTTATTTCCCTTTCCTTATTTCCCTTCCCATTGTATCAATAAGTATAAACAATGTATATACAATAGTGTGGGAATGTTGGAAATTTCCTTAGCCCTTTCCTTCCAGCACTGTTGTGTATGTAACTCCATGTCAGCCTGGCACACACCCCGGACCCGGACCCGCATGCATGCTCCACCCCGCATGCTCTGTGCACCGCATGCTCCGGGCCCCGGTTCCCACCCCTCATGTGACTTCCGGATATCTCCGGAAGTTTTTGCCATATTGTGGCCACTGTGGGAAAGTGAGAAGTTAACCTTCTTCTCACTTTCTTACCCACAGTAGTACTGTGCCCTGGGATGGGCTGTTACAGGTTAGGCTGTGGGCCATAGAGAGAGGGGTCATGGGGACCTGGGGGTCATCCCCTGACACTCCATTCAAATTCATATCATTGACAGCCAAGGACTGAGGCTCACCCAGGGTTGGCACCTACACTAGGCAGGTGTCAGGGCACACCCACCTGACCCCATGCCGCACCCTGCACTGTACTGCCCTACTCCACTCCCCCCCGCTATCACTCCCCATCCCTTCTTTCCCCTTTTCCCCTTCTCTCTCTATTTCTATTCTATGGTCGATTTCCCTTTTCTCCATGTATCACTACATACCTAACCCCACTCCCCTGATCGGTGCACATGCCATGTGCACTCCCACCCACTGAGCAGCCACCTCCGGGATCTCCCACAGAGACACCCAGGGAGGTGCGGCTGTGCCCGGAGATGACGTGGCTTCCTCCACATGACCCTAACCACTTGTATATAATAGCACCTGGGGTGGGAACAGAAGAAGCAGCCTTCTTCTCAACTTCCCACTTCAGGTAAGTACTGTAGCTTCTCCCCCTTTAATGATAATACAACTTCCCACTTCAGACTAAGTGGTTGGGGATGCTCACCCCATGATGGGATCACCACTATGCACAGCTGACATCTGTCCCACTGAGTCCCTTTGTGAGGTCTTAGGGTGGCTCAGCACACAAGGCCGTAAGTGATACAAGATAGTGTATTTTACAGTGGTGTGTAAGCAGTTACCCGGAGGTTCCTGCTTGCCCACGTGACTATATGTATCTAATTTACATGTGACTCGGGGTTCGGGGCTATTGCCCTGACATTCTCCCCCTTGCGTTGCATTTGCAACGCATACAAGGTTGATAGTGAATAAAACAGAGTTTTAATAGTTGATTTACATTGAGTTTGGAATTATCAATGAGTGTTTTGTTGTCGCCACTTTAAAGTGGGCGATTTTGTACATGTCGGTGAAGAAAAGAGAGGGGGTTTAAGGAATGAATGAGTGTGGGCCATTACTTTGAAGTGAACAGCGATACATTGGTATCGCAGGGAGAGAAGAGAAAAAATGGTGGGGTTTGTCGAAAATGAATTTCAACCCAAAGGTTGTATGTCTTTGGTGTTCCTCACTTGTTCTGTGAGGGTTCATGTGTAAGTGGTGTTTACACACGAGCGGTGGTGGATGTGGGTCTTTTGACGGAGTGGAGATTTCCGCAATTGTTACTTGCGGTTCCTCGCATACAGTATTGTGTGCGGGGCCTCGAGTTGGGGGAAGGTGTTTTCACAGGTGCCTCGATGGCGTATTACCGTGTCACTTTCCCTTCTCTCAAGGGTGGATTCATTGCCCCGGAGGAGGGTTTTCCTCCGGGTTGTTCATCTGGACATCCGATTGCTGTGTCGGATGCGATGACGTAGCCTGGGCTACATTGTCGGGCTGTGGGCTCGACGAAGTGGGTGCTCCCTGGGTGGGAGCAGGTTGTTGTGTTCCTGAGCTGCTTGGCTCAGGTGTAGAGTACGGTAGGTCTACCATTCTTCCCGTGGGGAAGGATGGTCGTTGGGCTGGTTGTCCAGCACGGAGACTTGCGTCTCTTTCCCGGTATTTGGAAGCTTTCGCTTCCCGTTCTGCAGTTCTTGCGGCACGTTCCTCAGGAGTCCTGAGTGGTTTGAACTGGGACTTTAAGTAGGCAGCTTTGCCTAGACTTTCCCAGGAGATTTTTCCCTTATTCTCTGGGGAATTATATTCCTCCATGAGTCTTGCGATACTTGGGAGTCCCAAGAAGTATTTCTCGGTTTCCTTCGCTTTTTCGCGAAGGGTTCTGTGTACCTTGCCGCTTTTGAAGGCGGCTTTGGCCTGTTCGTACCAGTGTACGAATTCTTTCCCACTCACGCTTGTCCACCAAGCGTATGTGGCATCATGCGCCGCTTCTGACCCCGCTATTCTCCTCATGGGGAAGTTGGGGTCGATTGTTATGTCGACTGGAGCTTCGACTTTGCCGAACTCGTTGAGTTTGGCGGTCTCGTATAGCATGTGGACACTTCCCTGCAGGGTAGCTTGCCCATAGGGTGCTGAGGTACTCAGCGGCCCACCGCCTCTGGCAGTGGTCCCCGTTTTAGGGTCTGCCGTCGGTTGCCTACCGCTCTCCCTCTTCCCCTCGACATGGGTTTGCCTTTCTGAGGGCGGGCCCTTATGCAACCCGGACAGGGTCGCCTGCCCACGGGGTGGCGGGATAGTCAGTGCCCCGGCACCGTATCCCCTCCCCCTGACCTGAGAGGCCCCCATCATGATGGGTTTGGCAGCGAGGTCTGCCAGTGCGTGTGCCTCTCTGAGCTCGCGTTTCAGTAATTCGATCTCCCTTTTTTGGAGATCGACTTCTCTCTCTGTGTCTTTCAGAGAGTCAAAGATGCCCTCAGCATCTCTTCATGCTCTGTTGTATTCGCGCCTCCAGTGGGCGCAATGGTCGCAGGCGTCTTCTGATGCCCTCGAGTTATCAGACCATGCCCGTTTGGACGGTCTGGACAAGGAGCCGCTGTCGCTCCCTTGTCTCCCTCCTATGAGGGACTTCATCTCTTTCAGCTCCTCACGGAGCTGACCTGTCTGAGCAGCTACCGCTGACGCGATAGCTGATTCCCAGCCTGCATTTGGCTGGGGTGTTGTTGGACCTGGGCCGAATTGGCTAATCCAGGGGTTGATCTGGCCAGGGAAGTTCCCTGGGGAGTATGCCTGGGGCTGCAGCAGCAAATGCTGCCCCTGGAATGGTGCTTGTTGCGCCATCGGTGCAGTTTGCACCGCATATGGTTGGAAGCCTCTTTGGGGAGGCTGGGGGTATGCGGTGCCTGTTAGCAACGCGGATGGTTGTTGGTTCGCAGCACTCATTTGTGCTGCGTGCGTCGTGTAATCCATGGCGCTTATCTGCACCTGGTGTTGTTGTTGTTCCGGGGAGTCTTGCTCCCCAGGTTGTCGTATTTCGATATCTGGTGGTTTGTTTGGATCGAACCGAGGGTTACCTCCCCCAGAGAATGACATTTCGTCGTTATGTTACTCGTGGTGGTGGGAGGGGTTTTCGTTCTTGTGTGCGTGGGATTCGCCGCAGATGTGTGTTCTTTTGCACATGAGCCTGTGGTTCACGTGGTCTAGGCGGGTTACTCGCCTAGCCCATGTGATTTCTCGTACATGGTGTGGCTGTCCGGGCGAGTTACTTGCCCAGAACTTTCTCACGCTCTTGGCTGTGGGCCATCGTCCCTCGGCTTTACTTCCTCCGCCTCCATTTTTGGGGGCGTAGTGATGCTGAGAGTCCCCTGTCTTCTTTGATGGGGAGTTTTTCTGGTTCCCTTACATTTTGTAAGGTGAGGTACTCGTCCAGGTGGACGAGGTCGTTGCAATTTCCTAGGGGTTCCCATGTGGTGTCCCCTAGTTCCCATTTAACCTTAAACCAGAGTTCGTTGTGAACCCATGCGTGGTTTAGGATTTCGCGAACTACTGCTTCGCGATCGGGGTCTTCCCCAAAATCGTAGAATATGTTTACTTCCCTATTTGGGAAGATTTCCTGGTCATTCGGCTCGTGAGGTACGAGCCGGGATACATGGAATCTTGGGTGGATTCCGCGTTGTTCAAGTTGTGGTGGCAACTTGAGGACGTAGTTTGACGTTTCTGGAAATGTTTCCAGAATTTCGTAAGGCCCTATGTATAAGGGCTTTAGTTTTCCTGCCCTGCCTTTGGGTAGGTTCAGCTTATCCATGGATAAGTATGCAAGCTCGCCTTTTCTCAAAGGCAGGTCTGGGCGTCTTTTCTTATTCACCTGGATTGTTTGAGCAGCGCGATTATGTATTATTGCGTCGTGTGCTGCCATGAGGTTTTCCTTCGCTTTTTGAGCGAAGTCATTTACTCCTGGGTAGTCCGAGAGTGGTGCTGTTAGGCACATCTTTGGCATATGGCCGTAGATTAATTTGAACGGGGCAAATCCTGTGGATGTGTTTGAGCTCGCATTGATCGCGAATTCCGCCATCGACAGTTTCGCTGCCCAGTCGTGTTGGTCTGGTCTAACCATCGCGCATAGTATTTGTACTACTTTTTGTATCATTCTTTCCGCTTGGCCGTCGCCTTGCGGGTGGAATGCAGTTGTGAATTTCAACTGTACACCGAGTATTCGGTGTAGTTCGCGCCAAAATTTTGATGTGAATTTTGAGTCTCGATCTGATATGATCGAGTGTGGTAGACCGTGGAGTCTTACAACTTCACGAAGAAATACGAATGCTAGTTCTAGTGTGTTTGTTGTTGTCTTTATTGGAATTAGGTGGACGTTGGACGTCAACCTCCAGATGATTACCCAGAGGTAATCATATCCCAAGCTTGTTGGGAATGGACCTGTGAAGTCCATGGCTATTGACGACCATGGTGTCTC